TCAAATCGAAAACTAAATTAACATTGAAAATTAAAGGGGACTCTACAAAATACCAAAAAAAAAACAATTATCAACTCAAATCTTCAAAACAATATAAAGCCCTAAAATGTTATCATCGCCACCATGTGCAACTCACTTTTAATCCGACTAAAAACAGAAGATTCCGGCAAGATATTCCCGGATTTGAAAGCAGAAATCTTCCACCATGCAACTTATCGGGCTTGGTGCTCTTTCATCGCCTCGTCTCCTTTCCATCGGCTTTTTGCTCTCTCCGTCACTGACTCGCCGGAGCGAATTATCGGTAACACTTATGCCTTTGTTGTTCGTGCTCTCCTCTTTGTTGGAATCAAGGTACACACTCACGTCCTTTGTATCTCTTTTTTCTTCGTCACTCACAGTCTCAAACCCATTCGGTAATCTTATTTGTATACTATATGAATAGCTTCATAATAATGATGATAAGTCTCAGTAAAACATAGAAACAAGTAATGTAGCTGTGTATGGGTAGGGTTATGGTCTCTATGTTGAAGTACAATTAAAAATAATTTTTTATGTGATTGAGATATATTACGAATTAAAATACTTTATAAAATATTCATACTTAGTGATTATTGAATTTAAGTTAATAGACCAAATTTTCTACACTAGCTTTATATTTCTGTTGAAGTTTAAAAAATAGATCATATTTTAAGGATTTAATCGCTTATTAGATAGAATTATATTAATTTTGAAGTTATAAAATTTTATTGTTTATTTGTTTGTTACTATATTTCATATCTCTAGTAAAATACTTAATTTCTAAAGATCTATTATTAATAAAATGTTTGTAAAAATGTACTATATATAAATATGAAAATAATAATAAGTGTAGGTTAATTTTGTCTATATAATTTTATTTATAGGTTCAAGTTTCGGCCCCCTCGGTTCATATGGTTGTGTTCCGCCCCTGTAATTACCAATGAATATTTTCCGTAGCTATTTTTCGTAGGTAAACCCCATGTTTTCTAGTAGTGAGAAAATCAACTTCTTATCGACGGCATTATCCGTAGATTATTGCCAATCCAAGGGATTTATGATGGACTGCATGCCGTTAGGTTTTAGCTCGTGGGTAATTTTTACAAACAAACTGCTAACCGAATACCGATGACTATCCGTCGCTAATTTACAGACGGAATGTTGACGCACATATGTTTGACCTTGTTTGACCAAGTTACCGACGACCCACTTTACCGGCGGATTACCTGCAAATTAACGACAAACTTTTGTAGACTTTGTTTGACCAGATATCGACAACACCTTTAGCGGTGGAATTTCCATCACTAAATTATGCTATTTTGAATTTATTTTTTAAAAAATTGTAAAATATTGAAAACTCCAATTTTTGTGTTGAAATATGCAGAAAAAGCCGATATTAAAAAGTTGATAACAATCATATGTAAAAACAAACCTAAATAAAAGTTACAATATAAGTGTCAAAATACACAAAAAGTGTATGTACAAACCTAATTAAACATTACCAAGTGTTTACACAATCGTCTCATGCCAAAAACTAAGAGATACACAATTGTCCCATAACAAAAACTAATAAATATTGTCTGGTGGATCAGGGGTGGATTAGCTAGTGAATTACCGGGGTACTTAGCGGGTGGATTACCGGACGTACTCTAATATCTCAAAAAGATCGCCATTTTCCTTGCATTTGTTCTTTTACTCGACACATGATAGACACTTCCTCATACAACCTTATAACCTAAAAAATGGTAAAACAATTCAATGATTAAGCCATAATCGCAATGTCTTGTAGTTTACTATAGCAATGTACTCAACTTTTAAACCATATAGCAATGTTCTTTAGTTTATTATAGCAATGTAATTTAGTTTACATTTATAGCAACATAGTTAACGTTTAAACCATAATAGCAATGTATTTTTTATTATTAATTTAATCCATAATAATAACATATTACCTAAATTTTAAACCGTAATAGCAATGCACTTTTGTTTGTTATAAATATAAATTGTAATAACAACATACTACTTACCTTTTAAACCATAATAACAATGTACTTTTGTTTATAGTCAATTTTATTCATAATAACGACATATCACTTAACTTTTAAACCATAATAACAAGATACTTTAGTTTATTATAAAAACATATTATCAATTTTATCCATAATAACAACATACTACTTAACTTTTAAACCATAATAACAATGCAGTTTGGTTTTTTATCAAAACATTTATCATTTTTATTCGTAATAACATACTATTGAACTTTTAAAATATAACAACATACATCTTCTTGTGATACGTCTGAGTGAGTAGACTTCATAGACTGGGAAGATGGTGTCCCCATAACCACAAAACCAATATATATGAAAATTTTATTCTAAAAATTGGGACATTACAAGTGCGTAGGCTCCTTCGTGTACTCTTGCATTACTAGAATGGGTTTCATCTAGTATGGCTTCTCCTTCTTCTTGTGTGACTCAATTTAGCCATGGGGATGGATAGCTTTTCGGTACAACATTCCGTTCTGAATGGTGAACAAGGTCGCTATGATCTTGATTTTCCTGGTATCATCAGAGCCATCATCATGTAAAAAATTCTATGTGATAGATAGTTAAAGCATGGTGCCATTTAGCTTCATATGTTTTTGTCTAGGGAAGATATTTCTTGGTCTTCGATACTCCATGTTGTGAGTACCTCAAACAAGACTACTTGATAAGTGATCAAATGTGGTTGATTCTAGCTTGCTATGTGCATGTTTTCTGATCATGGGCTTTATTTGATTGTAAAGTTTTCGAATGTGCCGACGAGCTTTTTGACTGCGCTCATATATTCTTGCATCCTCTTATCCTTTTGCTTGTAGGTGTCTTTGACTTGGTAAGTAGCGAGTTAAATAGCCTTGCCATGCTTTTAGCCCTACTTTGGTGGCTAGATGTATTCCAGCCAGTTAAGCTTCGTATTTTGCCTTGTTATTTGATGTTTGGAAATTAAAACGTAGTGAATATGTGATTTATTCCCCTTGGGGGTTTCTTAATATGAGACATGCTCTCGAACCATCTTTGCTCGAGGCTCCCTCGGTATGAAAGGTTACAAAGTCTTCAATTTCTTTGGTGCAAGACCTTATGTCTGCCACCATTTTGCTGGAATGTTGTGTTTCTTTCGATGCTGACACTCCGGAGAGGAAATCGACTAGTGCTTGCGCTTTGATACTTGATTTGGTTCTATATTCGATGTTGTGTTCTCCTTGTTTAATCACCCACTTGATTAAGCGTCCCGGATTTTTTTGGCTTTAGGAGAATCTGGAAAATTGGTTGGGTGGTTAACACTTCTATGTGGTGTACCTGGAAATATCTTCGCAGTCATCTGACGTCATAGATTAGTGTTAGTACTAACTTTTCTAGGATTGGGTAATTAAATTTTGGCCCCTAGAGACCTCTGTTGACAAAGTAGATAGTTGATCGTTTCTTCTCTCTCTCTCTCTCTCTCTCTCTCTCTCTCTCTCTCTCTCTCTCTCTCTCTCTCTACTGTGAAAATGACATTGATTGCTTCTAGAGATGCTGCTAGGTAGATGGACAGTGTTTCACCTGGTAGTGGGTTGCTGGTTTTGGGAGTGTTTGGAGAGACTTTTTGAGTTTTTCCAGAGCTTGATCAATTTCCAATGTCAATCTCAAGTTTTTTTTTATCGACACATGACGTCAAAGTTTGGAACATCAGTAGTGCTTTTTCTATTGATTTCTGTATGAACGTTCCTACTATGGTTAGCTTCCCGTTGAGGCCTTACATATCTTTCAGGTTGTGGGTCATGTTTGTTTGTAGGAAGTCTTTGCTCTTGCTAGGGTTCACTTGTATGTCTTGTCCTATGATGTAGTATCCCAAAAATTGTCATTCTTTAGCTCCAAATGTGCATTTTGCGGGGCTGGGCTTCATTATCTATTTTTCCATCCTTTAGAAGGTTTCTTTAACATCTCACAGCAAGGCGGTGTCGTTTGCACTCTTGATTACCATGTCTACCTCGATGTTTCTTCATGATTTGATCTTTAAATATCTTGTCGATGAGGTGTTGGTATGTTGTTATGATGTTTTTATACTCGAACGACATCTTCCGGTAATATGTGCAGAATGATGTCTTTTCTTCGTCTTCTTTTCTCATGAAGATTTGGTTCTAGCCTTTATAGGCGTCCAAGAAGCTCTTTCATTTGAAACATTCCAACGATTCTACCTTGTGATCTCTCTACGAGAGGGGATAATAGTCTTTTGGGCATGTTTTATTCATATCTAGTAGTCAATGCACATTCGACAACTGTCGTCATGCTTTTTTAACATGACCAAGCAATCCACGTTCGAAAGACGGCTTCTCGTACAATGTCAGCTTTGACTAACTTAGTGACTTCTGCGTTGATTGCCTTGTTTATGTCTCCAACTCCCCCCCCCCCCCCCCTCCTTTTTTTGTTTGATTATATTGTTGTCGGGTTAGATGTTCAGGTGCTCGATGATGTCATGACTTACTCCAACCATATTTGTGGCTCCCATCCAAAGAGGTGCTTGTATTTTTTGAGAAGACTAAGTAGTTTTTCTCTGGTGGAGATTGTTAGTGTAGAGCCAATCTTGGTCTGTTGGTCCAAGTATTTGGTGTGGATTACTTCTTTTGCTCTTGGTTCTTTTTCTCTTCGTCACTTCCAACCTTTTATTATTTCTTCTTGAACCATAATTTAGTTGCATTCGAGTGTGCTTAGTGGTGTGGCAGGAACCAGCAACTTCAAGCAGCCAGCGTTGATCATGAAAATAAGGGTTACACCAGAACAACCACATTAGATCTTGCAACATCTTTAAATACACTTGTACTTTAGGATCTCAAGAATACTAATGTACTTCCACAAAAGTATCCAGCATCAGCAATGGTGATCTATCACAGTGGAACCATCCTTTTTGTGCATAAGGGTAAAATTGTCGACGTTCTGCACATGGGCATAATCATCAATTTTTAGAGTATGAGATTTTATTGCACCCAGCATCACCAGAACTGGACAGGGACTAGGACTGTACTTCAAGCATCACCACTTTGTACATGGGGAAATCTCCTTGCCAAGGTTAAAATCATCCACAATTTGTACAAGGGTAGAGTCGCCACTTTATTACTTGAGGTTCTGTTGTTCCCCGCAGCACCGGAGTACAACTGTATAGTGTATACGGGCAGCTCCATAGTGACCACCAGATTGAATGAGTTTTGTCGAGCCCACATTGCCCTCGGGTTAATGTGATGCAATTTTCATGATTGACCATCATTGCATTTCGACACTTATGACCCATCTATTGATTAACGATAATCACAATAAACACTTTTTTTGCCCAGAGCCATACATTGAACTATTATCGTCCATTGGCAAATCCATTTGAGTGTATTATGTATCAAAACATATAAATCCATACAATATGAAATTGAACGGTTTAATTCAAAATTTTGGTTTTCCTGTGTTTACTTGGAAAAAGTGGCCAGAAAAATAAGTGAACAATTTTTTTACTTCAAATTTTTTAAAGTAAGTGAGTAGGAACTTAGGATCTTTCGTTAAAAATAATAATTGAATGTGTTTATGGATAATCTTTATCTCTCCCGTGTTATATAGACGATCTTTCTTTATCCCATCCAATATTAATTCAGGGGCAAAAAGGTCCAAACATTTATTTCTCAAATGGAAGGATAAAAATGTTAACCGGAAATATCAGGACCCAAATGAAATACATGCACACGTTTTTCACGTCACCGACATAACCCCCACCCGCCAATCCTAGTATTGACAAGATTCATCAGAATAAAGTAATTATTAAAAAAAAGATAAAGTCAGAGAGTATGCAATTCAGGTATCGAATACAATATAATCGTACTTTATTCATCTTTAATGCCCTTATCTGTGTAGGAATATCTTCCCGCAAAAACAAAGTGAGTGTAAAAAGATAAAGCGGAGACTAAACAATGCAAGTATGGAATACAATATAATTAAACCTGTTTAAACTTTATATGAACCATGAAGATTTTAACTGCATGCATTCATTCAGATCTATTCTTCATTCAGATGGCAAGCTCATCAGTCCATCCTCCTCCTCCACATGCTTTAGCACAAATACAAGAAGACATAAAGTACTTATATGCATCAAATACTAATGTTTCTAACTTTGTCTCTGTGAAGCTTTCCAGCTACCGCAATTACCATCTGTGGAAGACACAGATGTTTTCCCTCATGGAGACTTACAATCTGTACGGCATTGTAGATATAACATTTACTGGTCCAAGAGGTTTGAGCCCAGAGATGGAGAAACAATATAATATTCTTGTCAAAGGTTGGATCTTGGCTTCAATTAGCGAAGAGCTCCTTGGCACTGTTGTTGATCTTGATTCGGCCAAAGATGTCTGGGAGAAACTGAAATCATTCTATGATACAACCGCCATTCCAGTTTATGAAGAACTTTCGGTACCTTTCAATATATCTGCTAAACAAATCCAATAATTATCACTGCATGTACATATAGAGATTATCTAACAATAAAAGATTATCTCACTTGACCTACTATTTAAACACTTTCTGGGTCGTTGAATAAGGTTCCCAGCAACCAGTCTTGACTGGCGGTAACTAGTTCTTATTGCCAAAGAAAATGTAATGGCCACCCCCCACCTTTTGTTGTCCATTGTATTTGTTGGACTAGATAGACTCTATACGTATTGATGTCTCCCCTTTCACCTCAAGGGCACTTATGGTCAAAAAATCTCAACATATATGATACTTTTATAATTAAACGTGTCATTTTTGGCGCAACGATATATGGTTATCGTTTGTGTAAATATACATACAGAAATTACGTGTGTATGTGTGTATATATATATATATATATATATATATATATATATATATATATATATATATATATATATATATATACAGTTATATATGGGACCTTTTCTTCTGTTTTACAAAAATATTTACTGGAATGATAGCCAGAAAAAGTATTTCAAGTAAATTATCATGTTATGGAGAGACATTACATTAATCGATCTAAGAAACATGCCTACATGTTTCTTTTAATTTAGTAATTAGTTTAATATATATCTAACCAATTGTATGTTTAAAATGTTTATTTATCACCATATATATATATATAGATATATATATATATATATATATATATATATATATATATATATATATATATATATATATATATAGGGAATAGTTCAAATAAAAACAGTAAATAGTTTGAGAACGTCAAAACACTTTTTTATGTTATTATTCTGCAATGAATTTGGTATCGACAGCTTTATGTCATTATTCAGCAATGAATAAATGAATAATCAATGTTTAAAACTAAAATTAGAATTTACTACAATAATGAACATACATAAGTTTATAATAAAATAATAACATTGTAATGAATATATCACTAATAAAAACTTAATATTCATATTAGAATTACTTTAACAATACACATATATAACATTCATTACAGAATAATAACATAAAAATAGTGTTTTTACGTTCTCACAATATTTACTGTTTTTTTTTAACCTACTTCTATATATATATATATATATATATATATATATATATATATATATATAGAGAGAGAGAGAGAGAGAGAGAGAGACAGAGAGAGAGAGAGTTTGGTTCAAATGTGCATGAACAACTATTGTGTAGAGGTGTGGACAGTGCTATTCTGTGATAATGACAAAGAAAATATGTTGTTTAATAATATGAATACGTTCAATCTTACATAACTATTGTCATTATCACACATTGTCACTAATTAAATCGTGTATAAGGTTATTATAGATTTTTTATTATTATTCTCATTATGTCAGAATGTTGTCGGAATGTTTATTGAGTCGTGTTCTGTCAGAATGATAATGAGTGAAAAACGATTTGTGAGAACAAAAATGAATAACAATTAGTGAGAATGCATGAAAATGACGATATTTTTGTAAGGTTGAACGTATTCGCATTACTAAACAATGTATTCTCTTAGTAATTCTCATAGAATCGCGTTGTCCACACGTCCACACAATAATTGTCCATCAACATTATAACCTAACCCTATATATATATATATATATATATATATATATATATATATATATATATATATATATATATATATATATATATATATATATATATATATATATATATATATATATATATATAACGGTTATGGTTACATAGTCATTTAAATATAATTTTAAAATGGATTCAGCTCAATCGAAAAAGGAAGCAGAAACAGATCGGAGATAAAATTTCATCAGAAGAGAATATCACAATTTCATGTGAAATACAAACAGTGGATGAAGACATAAAACGAAAAGGAAAAAACAAGATCATACGCAACATGAAGTTACGTCAAGCTATTGCGGAAGGAAATTGGAGGGAAGTAGAGTCCAAACTATCATCGGGTAAACGCGCAGACACAGAGCACATAGACAGTGATGGAAACACCATGCTTCATATAGCGGTTGGATTACGTCGTAACCGTATACTCAGAAATATATTAGAGTATACAGACGAAGTAAACTTACCGAAAATGAGAAATTTTGATGGAAACACAGCCCTGCACATAGCTGCAATCGTTGGCAACACAAAAGCAGCATCGCTCTTGGTAAAAAAAAACAGAAGATTGTTGGAAATTACAGACCATAAAGGTGAAATACCTTTGGACAAAGCTTATGAAAATATGCATCTTGACACCATAGAATATTTGTTGAAAGCTGCGAATGATGTCGATGGAAAATCCAAGAAAAAGTTTTTTCCTTTAGAGGATTCTGTTAGCCCTGGTGTAAAAGTAGGCGTTAACCTTCTTGTTAATGCTGTTACTGCAAAGCAATATGGTGCGTAGCCGATATATATCACAGAAATACGATGTTTCAAAGATTTACTACTTTAAATATTCACAGTTTTTAAAATATGCTTGCAGACTTAGCAACACAGTTAGTCAAGAAGTCTCCTGAATTTGTTGTGGCAAATGATAATATACTTCTGGCAATAACTAGAAGTTTTCGGATGGGGCTGGATTACTGGGAAATGCTTATATATCCAAGTAAGTTTCTAATATACTAGAGATACATAATCTCTTTGTTACTCTTCTTTTATTATGGTTTTTTTCTTTCAGATATGGGTGATATTTGTGAAAGGATAGTCATGAGAGCCAGGGACTCGTTTAAAGTATTAGTATACTACTGCAAAGACATGACGTGTATAATAGAAGATGTACATGATGACGTGATCTTTGGTAGTAGACAACTGCTACTATACTTCACATTGAGAGGTGAGCTACTGATATATAACCTGTAAATACAACCCCATAATTTATCATATAGTTGACATCACAAATGAATGTTTTCTGCTTATGCAGGTCCATTAGCCATGCTTCGTTGGATTTATTACATGATTCGCCTACTCATATTGATACTTTATTTTCCATTCTTTGTGTTTTATTTCCTATTCTGGAAGGTTGCAACGAGAGTAGGTATATAAAGACTCAATTTATATCAGTTGCGTTTAAACTATAATTAACTAATTCTATATAATACAAGTTTAATGATTGTTTTGAACCAATTATTTCCCAACTGTCAGTTCCACTAATTAAGCGTATCGAGAAGAAAATGAAGGAACAAAAAGCAGCAAAAGAAGTTCTAAAATTGGTATGTGATGAAATAGAGAAGTTGGAATTCCCTGATGCTCATCCTCTGTATCATAGAGTTGTTCTTGAGGCTGCACGTCAAAACATTTATGAGGTTGTTGATGAGATTTTAATGAGATCTCCTAAAGCAGTTCGATATAAAGATGAGAGTGGGTATGACGTTATACAGTTAGCAGTTATACACCGTTCAGAAAAAGTCTACAACCTTATCTATACCATTGGGGAGCGTAAGAGTGTTTACAGAATGATCGAAGATTCTTCTAAGAACAATATGTTGCACTTGGTTGGAAGATTACCTTCTTTGCAGAAACTCAGACATAAAAGAGGCCCAGCATTACAGCTACAAAAAGAGCTTCACTGGCGCCACGTACATCCAAAATGAATTCTTTACCATTATTGTAGCAAGGGCGGGAAGTAATATACTTTTTTGTTTTATATTTTACAGGAAATTGAGAAGCTCGTGTTTCCCACTTGCACTACAAAAGAGAACACTTTCAAAGAGACACCAGATAAGGTGTTCAGAAGGGAGCACGAAAATATGGTGAAGGAAGCAGAAAAGTGGATGAAAGCCGTAGCAGAATCATGCAGCATCACTGCAGCACTAATTACCACAATTGTGTTTGCGGCAGCCATTACAGTACCAGGTGGAAGCAATCAAGAAACAGGCATCCCCGTGTTTACAAAAGAAATTGCTTTCACGATCTTTGCAATAACAGATTCAATCTCACTATTTGCATCCAGCACAGCATTACTGATGTTCTTGTCGATCCTCACAGGAAGTTTTGATGAGAGAGATTTTCTATTCAGTTTGCCAAGACGACTGATGATTGGTCTTTGTGCGTTGATGCTATCTACAACTGCCATGATGGTGGCCTTTGGGGCAACGTTGTTCATTGTCTTTTCTCATAAAAGACCATGGATGCTTGCTCCAATTTGTTTATTATCTTCGGTCCCGATTGCGACTTTTGGTGCTCTTCAAATCCCCCTCATAGTAGATCTCTATCGGTCGACATATGGACACATATTTGGCAATCCAAAAACAAAAAAATAACAAATTGAAGACAGATGACATACAACTTATTTTTGGAAAGTGAAACGAACAAGCATCTTGGAATGACGAATCTACGGTCCAACAATTATACATTGACTATGTTATTCTGAATAGTGAGATTTAAGAACTGAATTCTAGTTTGATAATTTAAAGTATTTCATATATTACATGTCCCTTCAAGCTCATGAGGCATTTATGAATAAGTGAATAATTTACTGGAAACTAATTGTTAATAATGATGATAACTTATTAAGTTTCAGGGTGTGTTTGGTTGGATGGAATGAAATGAATTAAGTAATTGAATGGATAAAGTAATTGGATGCATTATTATCATTTGATTGTCGTGTTTGGTTACTCAAATGTAATGCAAATAAGTCATTAATAATTGTTAAGTACCAATGTATGAAAATTCAAATAAATGGAAGGAATTAACGGACATTGACAAAGTATCCTCGTAACACAAAATGCATACGATTTACAGAATTTTAACAACAATATCCTGGAAAATAATATATATATATATATATAATATATATATAATATATATATATATATATATATATATATATATAGACCCGTTTTTTCTGGTGCCTCCAAAAACAAGTTCACACGGTTTCAACACTGCCACGTAACCCACCAACCGATCGACGCAATTTATCATTACGCCGATTCAATCCTCCGTGTTCACTTCTCCTTCAACGTCTCCCTTCTGCACATCGACATATCCACCGATTCCCCATCTCCTCCAACAACCTGGCCGACTTCATCCTCAACAAGAAATCTGACCATATCATCCCCCCAAAAGAACCTAATTCCTTCCGTAACTACTCAGAGCGTACAGCCGGTGAGATGGGTTTGGAGAAATACGTATGTCACCCTGTTAAAGACAAAGGGATTAAGTAAATTGACATGTTTTTTCCCACCGATTCCAGAAAACGATGCCCTCAACCGACACGACCTCTAATACCCTTCTTGAAGACAAAGAGGGTATATACATACCCTATTCTCTTCGATCAAGATCAGTACGCTTCAATTTCTCTTTACTTTTCCATACGACTTCTCTCGTCCTCATTGTCTATTTATCTTCGTCGTCGTTAATGTTTATTTTTTCCATGAGCTTACTTGAGATGCTCGAAATTGGGAGCAGTTCATCCCGGAAAATGAAGAATCTTCCTTGGATTAGATGGTATCTAGGGTTTTTTTTTCTTTTTTCTTTACATGAACAATTGTTAGATTTTGTTTGATTGGTTGAAATCAGTGAAGGAACCGATGGTTGAGTAAGATTTCACTTTATTCTTAATCTTTAATTTTTCTTTTTTCGTTTATTTTGAAACCTTAGCATCATACCAGTAAACCACCACCATCGCTATTACCCATGATTCCATAGGGTATCCTTGAAACAGTCGAATCGATTAGATGAAGTGGGGCGTCTGAAACCTATGGCGATAGCAACATAACACAAGGGCTCTGCTTGCGTTGGCTAGAGTGATATTCTACCACAAGACCCTACCGGAGAAACCAAGTTCTTCAATCAACGATCTTTTGCTACAAATTAGGGCTAACGCTTTACAAATCCAACGATTATAGGTTGGTCTGGTTGCTAAGTTGGTGAGGTTAGACGTTTCACCTTTATTATCTTATATGCCCTTCTTTACCGTTACATTAAACACCAGATATGGCTTTAGTGGATGAGTTTGAACATCATTTTGTATTTGACATATAAGGTTAGTAAAGAAGTAAACAAGACAACATTATAAGTCAATGGAGTTTACTGGAAAGTACAATTTTCATCTGTGAATGTTGCCAATTGATAAGTTATTATAAGTTTTTTGTTTTAGTTGTCATTTCTCTTTAGATAATTTGCTTTCACTCACACATATAAGGGATGTTTTTGTTAGTTTTTTTTTTGAACCGTCAAATACAAATATTATAATCTACTCCTAAACTAACACCTAATTCCACCTATGTCCACCACGAGACTTGAACCCTCAACCTCAAGGAGGGAGGGCCGGCTAGAAGCCCTTTGGTTGTTTTTGTTAGTTAAATGTTAATATATGGACCATGGTGGAATTAATTACATTTCAATACAATGTATATTCTAATATTGTCTTTTTACTATTAACCGATTCAGGTACTAATATAACAATGCTTAGCCTCATTACATTGGGATGTGGTCAAGTGAAGTTGCCTGAACTTGTGCCAGTTAAATTGGAGGATGTGTGGTTAAATTTTTTAAAAGATTTGGAGGTCCACAGAGACAATGAAGACAAAGGGAAGGTGCACTTGGAGTTTTTATATTGCCTACATGGTGTCGGAAATGAGTTTATTAACTTATTTACTTCCAACTTTTCAATGATATTGTTGGGAATAGTTCTGAAAGATGGTTCAGGGATTGAAAATGGCGATTTAGTTGATGAAAAAAGAAGAGTTGTATGTAGAAGAGTGTTATTTGTGATAGTAATATCTTCTGAATAATTGCCATATACATATCTAATGGGTAAAGCCGATCCTTTTGCGATACTCACTATGAAAACTGGTGCCAGTAACGTCTCTAAGTTGCTTATGGTATGGTCTTTACATTTGTCTAAGTACACTCTACTTGAGAGTCTGAGTTTGAATCTTATTGGTACGTAACAAAAGTCGGTTTTAGGCATTTTAAATTTTTGATCATAAAGCACACCGTTTTCTTCCGATTATTTTTCTTGAAAAAACTAGAAACTAAGTAAATAAAACACCCTATAAAAACATGGAGTTTCTGGATTTACAGACTTGGTTGGATGCTCTAATTCGACCAAAAGTGCTAATTTTTCTTTCCTTTTTTTCATTAAAACAACTAAAAAACAAAGAAAATACACAAACCGTGTGAATGAGTCTTAAATAGACAACCATCTCTTTCAAAGACTCAGATTTGTAACATTTGTACATGTGATTATTTTGAATTCGAGCTTTATATTGATTTTTCAAGGGTTTTTGATCAAATTGAGAATTAGGTTTAGTTAATTATAATTAGATGGGTTTTGTCATATTGATATTTGATCTTTTAATGCTTAATCCACATGATTTTGTTGATGTCTTCTGGAGATCACATATCACCTAAGGATCAAACATATGGCAAAGTTGTCATTTATAACATACTTCCATTTAATTGTCATTTATAACATTTTACTTTCATTTTCACCAATTACAATATTGTACTTATAATTCTTTGTTTTATCGACACATTGTACTTTGAAAAATCCTCTCAGTTTTAACATTGTACTTTCATCCATTTTTAAAGCGGCCTTTTAAAATACATGCATTATCCTTTTCGGGCCGTGCTTAGCACGGGCCATAAAAATTTACTAGTATATATATATATATATATATATATATATATATATATATATATATATATATATATATATATATATTTGCTTTCTTCTTGATATATAATCATCGTCAAACTTACATCATATGATAAGCTACCATCCTCTCCCACTGGGAAAGAAAAAAAACAATCAAATGAATGGCTTAATGTTGAACAAATTTTTGACTTGTCTAGTGCAAGCAAACAAATTTTTTTATGAATACTGAAAACATTTCTATAATAAACATTGTGCTTGTAATGCGTTCTCTGTATGTAGCTCGTAACAGAGATTATAGGTTTCTGTTTTAGCACTACAAGAATACCGACCTTTAGCGGCGACACTATTACTGGCGACATCGACTTTTAGCGGCGACATTTGCTAGAGTCGCCGCTAAAAGTCCCTGTCGCCGCTAAAGGGTTAGCGTCCGGATCCGCAGTTTCCCCCTCGGTTAGACCTCAACCGTTCGATCAAATATCTAATCCAACGGATAGGGTACCTTATCCGCACAAACCTAATACCGGCGACATATTTGTCGCCGCTAAAAGTGTAAAATTGTCGCCGCTAATAATGACCAAAAAATGACGTGGTACCCTTCCCTCCAGATTGTCGCCGCTATTATTTTTGATATTTAACGAATGTTGTTATGTAATTACCGAGTACATTATTACCGGCAACCAAAATCGTTAATTACAAAAAAAATTAAAAAATGAAAATCGTTAATTACCGGCGACACTATTACCGGCGACAGAGTTATTACCGGCGACATGGTCATTAGCGGCGACACCTATCATTAGCGGCGACACGTTCATTAGCGGCGACATCTATCATTAGCGGCGACAAGTTCATCAATAGCGACGAAGTAGTAGCGGCGACTTATTACCGGCGACGCATTGCCGCTATTACTATAACCGGCGACAAATTGATTTATTACCGGCGACTTTTGTCGCCGCTAATGATCGTTTTCCTTGTAGTGTAGGGAATAAAGTTGTATGCAAAAGCTCAAAAAATGGTCACAATAAAGTTGAAATACGTGCTACCACAGGTTAGTGTCTTTCCCTAACAGATGGTTACCATCAACATTGAACCATGTTCGGTTGCAGATGGCAATGGTAGTTTTAAAAAATCTTATAGTTCAGCCATTTGATCAAAAAACTAATATGCATCTCAAATTAGTATATATTAATGTTCAGCAACAAAACCCACAAAAATCAGTTTCACTGAACAAAGATGGTAATAACAACTAAAATTATAAAATTTGTGATAAACACTTGGTTGGAAAAATCGCTACCCATCACAATACCTGAAATACGAAAAAGAAAACAAACAAATTTAGATGATTTTTAGAAATTACATAAACATAATTGTTATGATAACAAGTGAATTGTATGTGTACCATGTGTCTTCATTTCTCCAAACCAACAAATAATAACAGATTCCAATGATTTAATGTAGATGTTAAACACCACGCCCTCATCTCGGCATGCCTAGTTGGGAGGGTTAACGAGGCAACCGGAGATGAGTGAGAGTGTGTATTTTTTTGTTTTTTTTTTTCTTTTTTTACCACTTCCAAAAAAGTACTTCATTTTTCAAAAATATAATCGTTTTTTTTTCAAAATTTCAAAATTTTAACTATTAATCAACTGCTATAAAATA